GAAAGAGGGAACTTCGAAATAATTATCTCCATATCTTCGCTAATTAAATCAATCACCGTAATTTAGCTTACACTTATGAATTTAGCTAGCCCTTAAAATGTACAATAATCATTTCACTACCCGACAAACTCCGAACTTTATTCATTTGGCCTACATAATAGTTTCATCTTGCTGTACTTAATATACTCCAACATCACTGGCGCATGGTAACAACCAAATGCAGACCATTTCTGGTCACACATTACTCTCCATAACACAGCACCCCCTAGTTCCGTCACCTCTGGATACAGCGCATGCTGTACCACATATACAGGGTTCTTCTTAGAGTATTATACTGAATATCAGCGCATGCTGTACCACATGTAAAGTAAAAGGTTTCTTTTGAGGTATTACCAACTGAATATCAGCGCATGTCTTCGGGTGTTACACTTGTTATTAATGAATGTTTTCTGTTAATGCCCTGTATTTTGAGTAAAGTGTCAACTGCAAAACTTGCACTTAGTATGGGCTGCTGGTGTGCTGTCCTTTACATTCGACCCGCCTTTGGCCTTATTCAGAGCATCCCATTGTGATTTCTGAATTAATACCGTACCTTCGCTTCACAATTTTACGTGCGTTCGTTGTGAAGTTGATTACACTTTACTCAATAAAAATGAATCTATCAGCAGAACCTTAATTTTAGTCTTTTGTGAATTTATTTGATGCCTCTGTAATATTCAAAGATAACATTTTGTTTTATTATATCATTATTCGAAGGAATGTCATCGTTGTTTGGAATTGTTCAATGATACACGTGTAGAGAATTTGGAAGGAAAAAAATCCCTTTTTTTTCCCTTTATATTGAATAATTTGTATTATAATCGCTAATTTATTTTATATTTAATTAATTTGTAGATTTAAAATGCCTAATCTGAATTTCATTGCATTTCTATATTTGACATACTCATATTTTTTTATTTTAATAATATTAAATTTGTTTTTATTTTTATAAGGTATGCAAAAATTAAAATATTAAATTAGTAATGTTAATATTTATTTAATTTGTAAATTTAAATACAGTAAAACCCTTCGGGGCCAGAAAAGTGTCTCCTTATATGGGTGCCCCCTGAATAGGGGTGCACCCGGGTGGTCGTAGTGTTAAAAGATATACTTTACTCGTTTTGTGGCCGAAAAAGTGTCTCCCAAATAGGGGTGTCCCCTTAATAGTTGTGTCACAAAGATGGGGTTCTACTGTATGTGCAATCTGAATTTTAGTGCATTTTTATATTATAGTCATATTTGTCGTATTTTATTTGTCCTTACCATATTAAATAAATTTAGATTTTTATAAGGTATGCAAAATAATAGTAATTAAAACAATTTTATAAAACAAACAACACATAAATAAATAACAAATTCTGCAGTAATTTTATAAATTTAATTGTATGTTGGCCTATACCAGCAGGAAGAATGTTCCAGAGGATTTTTCGATGGGAGGTCTGATATGTCTGCTATGCAAGAAGGAAAACAAAACAGACGACCGTAAAAATTAGAGAGCACTCGAACTCTTAAACCATGCATAGGCCTATAAGACATTTGCCGCATGATGGTACGGTATTGTTTATGCGTATCATACCATGACCCAAAACTATCCGACATGCAAGAGGTTGGAGGAAGTAGATCTTACTCTAGATAAATTTCAGTTGACAAGGCGTTATCCAAGGAGACATCCCATCAACCGTCTGTTTCTTCAATTGGATATTCTTCTTTAAAAACACGACAGCACACACCTGGTGTTCAGATTACCAGACAATTGCGACTTTCACATTTAGAATTCGCAGATGATGTAGCGCTTATCAATACAAACACACTGCCAGCCAGTAACAGGGTAACTCTACTTGATGTACATGCTCAAAGCAGGGAGGTGTAAAAATAAATCTCCCTGCTCAAAGAGAGCAAGGATGAGCATCTTGGTTCTAAAAACGAAGGTACAGCAGGGAGATGTATAACCACGTATCTCTGTGACCACTCTATTGTGCAAAGTATTACGACTTTTTGTATGGTTTGTTTCTACAAATATTTTAGAGAGATTGATAAGAAACTGTTTTATAAAATCACTAAACAAGCTAGTAAGATTATAGGCCAACAAGTTTCATCACCTGATGTTATTTATAAAGAAAAAATTGTCTCTAAAGCCCGAAGTGTTCTAAAAGATGAAACTCATCCCTTGTTTAACAGTTTCCGAGCAAGTCCTTTTAGCTCAAGATTGCTTTTAAAGATAAAGCCTAACACTGAACGCTATAGCAAATCCTTTATTCCGACTGCAGTCAGATTGTTCAATGAAACCATAAATTGATAAACTTAATTATTTATTAAAATGTTATAAAATAAAATGTTAAATTTAATAGAAAGTTAAAATTAAACAAGTTTTTTTTTTTTAAGTTTACATCATTACGTAGGTCTACAGGAAGGGGAACATATTGTATTGTGTTGTCCTTTTTCTCTGTTCATTTTGCATGTTTTTGATCTTATTCTTAACAACTGTCTTTCATATTTAATCAGTACTGTACTTAAATGTTTTAATGTTTTATAATTTTTAATTTTATATATTTTATATGTACCATAACCAAGTGAATTTCCTTTTGGATAATAAAGTATTTTTGAATTTGAATTTGAATTTGAATAATGGTCGTTGGTGCAAAAAAGGATGGAAGGCGAAAAAAACCAAGCCGGAAAGGTACAGTCGCAGTCTGAATTGCAACCAAAATGAAATTTGAACACCACCAACACGCTGGACTGGACAAAGTAACCGGGGTAACGCTCAGAAACCACGATCTGGAGAACGTGTACTCATTTGTATACATGGGTGCAGATATTGCTGGAGATGTATTGTTTTAATGTTTAACAAATAAATGCTGTGGAAGCAGCGCATTCATTCGTTCGTTCGTGCGTTCGTTCGCTCGTTCGCTCGCTCGCTCGCTCGTTCGTTCGTTCGTTCGTTCGTTCATCGTTCGTTCGTTCGTTCGTTCGTTCGTTCAAGGGCTTTGAATGTTTCTATGCAGAATTTGCACAACAGTTTCAACCGAATAGGTAAGTGAGTAGCACATGGCATTGATTTGCATTGAACTATTTAAAATTTAGTGGCAAAACGGAGGGGGAACGTATCCCTGTCCCCCTACTAGATCCGCCCCTCCTATGAGTAATGTAATGATAATAATAATAAAGTAAGAACTTATATAGCGCCATTTAAAAAACCGAAGTAATTATCAGTGGCGCTTCATGTTATTGTTGGAATAAGTGCGTTTTGAGTGATTTTTTAAATAAAACAATTGATGTTGATTTTTTAATGTGAAGTGGTAGTGCGTTCCAGAGTGTGGCTGCAGCAAATGAAAATGATCTGTGTCCGAAGGTCTTAGTGTTGGTGCGAGGGACAGAAATG